TTTTGTTCTAGATTTCTAATTACTGTGCTTTTCGTATATGTTACATAGTGTTTTTTAAGTGAATAAAGTTAGTGCTTTTGTTTCTTCATCACTTTTCCTTTGTATTAAATAACGCTTTATGAGATTATACTTTTGGCTCTAGAGTTCTACTTACAGTGCTTTTCGTATATGTTACATAGTGTTTTAAGTGAATAATGTTAGTACTTTTGTTTCTAGACCACTTTTCCTTTGTATTAAATGACGCTTTATGGGATTATGCTTTTGGCTCTAGAGTTCTAATTACAGTGTTTTTTGTATATGTTATATAGTGCTTTAAGGTAATAGAGATAGTGTTTTTGTTTCTTCACCGTTTTTCCTTTGTATTAAATAACACTTTATGGGATTATACTTTTTGCTCTAGAGTTCTAATTACTGTGCTTTTCATATATGTTACATAGTGTTTTATGTGAATAATCACTACCAAAAAAACTGTTTTCTATTACGGCCGGAAAATCGTAACAAAAAGCCATATTTCGTGCAATTTGCGTATTTGCTACGCCTTTGTTACGACTTTTTTCCGTAATGTGTACTCGCGTATCGAATGTTTTTTGCCACGCCACTTTTCGTAACTATTACGATCGCTCAACGCTCCCTGAAGTATGGTATTTGTTACGATGTTTGTTACGAATTTTCTCTCGTAACGAAAGGTAGATCCTTCCGCGCGTGTGGCAGGACTTTTAGTTACGGTATTTGTTACGGAAGTTCCTCGCGTTACAAGTGTTTTCCATTGACCGGTTGTCAGAACTTGGTTTTTGTTACGACTATTTGTAACGGCATTGAACCCCGTAAAAAAAATATTACCTACTTATAGTCACGAAACCGTCTGTAACAACAATATCCAAAGACCACTTTTTGTAACGATTTTCTGGCCTTTTGTTACGGAAAAATAGCGTATTGTGAAAAGCAGGGGGTACGCTGCAATTGAAATTGTTCGTAACAAATGGACCTGCTGTGATGCGTATGATACGAAAATAAATTACGAATGCAAAGATTGCTATAAACATCATCATCATTACGCCCCGCGCAAACATTAATTCATATTAAAATTTGAATTCCATACCTACCAACAAAGTAAAGCAACCCATAGAACAAGCCTACTAGTATCTACACATCAACAACCTGTTCCGCAAAACGTGCTTAACAGTTCAAACAGAAGTAAACAACGCAATTAGGCACATTTTTCACCATACGAATTCAAACCACAAAGGTCTACGCATCAATTCCAGACATAGTTCAACAAAAACTCAACACAATCCATCCAAAGACAGGTTCGACATTCAATCCATATGACAAACGGGGCAATTAACATGGGTGTATCGGTACCAACATTTCAAGCCCGGCGCATGAGCTGCAATTGCCAACACAGAGATTACTTTAAGTCATACTTCTTATAAATTTCGGAAGGCAATACAAGAAAGGTATTAAAGTAGATCCTTACGTCGTTGTAGCTCCACTCAATAGGATCTTCGCCGACGACATCGCGAAGGGTAGTCGCCCCAGAAATGGTCGGCAAAATAAGGGGTGTGTCCGGGACTGACGCGGATGTCACGAAGACCTTGACCAAGGAAAGTGTGTCACCTACAACATTCACAAGAGCAATTTTTGATTACATTCAAGCATATATATCAACAGACGTTCGAACTGTATATATAACATGTCATAACACAGACATTATAAGTGTAATACTTTGGAACTAGAACAAGAGGAGTACGTACATTCAGACATGTCGTACAGTACATGGTATTACATTCATGAGTTAGGTAGCGAAGCACATTCTACCCTAATTTCCTATGTAATTGCAGCTTGATCTTTAAACCAAACATCCTTCAATAAACATGGGTCGTCATAATAGCAGTTATTTTACCACCCCTACATTAACAGTCTACATCGCTTTGGAAATCCACGGATCGTATCATTGTATACTTCTACACTTAGTGAATCCATGCTAATACGCAATATGAGGCCTGAACAGTCACGAAAACCTACGATATCTCGCTGAGGCATATTAAAAGTTTAATTAAACATCCTCAAAGATACCGGACCAACCTGGCCCAGGGGGCAGAGCAGAAGTCCCTCTGCAACAACTTTTTTCTCACCGGTGCGGGATAATAGAAGCACATGTGTGCCGACCTACAACAGACAGGGCATATGAGTTGGATAAGGTAGTACGCAGTCAAGAGTAGCCTAAATTAGACACTGCACTGATTTCTAAGAAACTCCAGGGCGTCACGGAATCATACCGTCATGCTTGGCTCGGACACAGGCCTGGGAATCTCAGGGACTGAATCAATACGAGATGTGCCCTATCATATAACATGCCGAGGATGGTAAATTCCTTCGCCATCCAAATCTCATGGGATACTCATACCAAACAGGTCAGGGATTATGAATACTTACTGCCTGGCCAGTAACCGCTCCGGAGTTTCTGTGCATGAATGCATACACATCAGCCTTGATGGTTTTGAACTCATCCATCATTGCCTTCAGCTCCTCCATTCCATTCTGTAGTTGTTCCCACCCATGCTGGAATGCTACACTGTCTGTTAAACCAGTTGACTCGCTGCGGGGATGAGCTGAACTTGCCGCACTGTCGACCTTTGACCGCTTCTTAATCTTTCCCCCAAGGGCCCATCGGTACAGAGTCTCCCGAACAGAGGGAGTCCGCCCTTCAGGGGGAACCTTGTTTAGCTCATTCTGTAAATAAGTCTACAGGAAAGATTTAAGTGAGGCCGAACTTGCTCTTGTTGTTAGAGATGTAAATACTGAATGAATTGTAACTAAGTTGGGAACGAATTTATTCTACCAATATCTCCTCGGTTTCTTGGTCATCCTTTCCCTTGCCTTGTGTGCGACTGGAAATCCAAATCTCCAGATTGTCGGGGTCCTTCCCCTTTGCCTTGATCTGCAGCAATACAAGGCCTTCTGTCATCGAAAACATAATGAAATACAGGAGAGGAAAATATGGGGATGGAGCATGACATGACTAATTACTTAATTGTAATAAAAGGTACCTCCTCTGCCAGAGTCGTGAATGACTTCCGCCCAGTACGATGTGGAAAGCTTCTTTTCGCTACGTTCGACGCATTTTTCTTGGATTGAAGCTACGTCAATCAAAGTTATTTAGTTCTCAGTCCATGCCCGTGCAGATTTAACGTATATTAATTTGGCATGTCCCTATGCGTACCTTCACCTTCTCGTCGCGCCAATACTCAACCAACATCGGCCACTGATCGGGCACAATCCTGCTTGAGGGAACCTTCTTCAGTGCTTCTTCATCGTCCTCGATCGGATTGAAGTAAGTTGATTTGATGCTGTATTTCCAGTGCCTCCAAACTTCCCTTAGGTCAGCCAAGACCACTTTCTCCGCTGAGTCTGGTAATCCGTTGTTACTCTGGAATGCCGTTTCACACGGTTTCCACCAGGTCCGGAGAAGATGGTAGGGCCATATATAAGAATCTATATGAAATAAAAGAACTTTCAATTTAATGAAGTTTGCATCACCTGAACCTCCATCCATGCACTCTGTCTCTTCGTCTCCGGTATCTCAGCGAACGTGGGGTAATGTAGAGGAAGTCGAGCTCCGTTGCGTGCAATGACCCCAATGGCTGTCTTGTACTCGTTTACGTCGGGTCCGACGATGCTTTTACCATCCGGCGATGTGAATACAAGCATCCTGTGATCTTTTCCCCATCCACGCGGCATTCGTGCCGCCCCTCTCCCCTGCTTTTTCTTTGACGAACCAGCTGACACAAACAGGAGATTACATGTTCTAATAAGGATATTACATGCAAAATATGAAGTCACTAAATGTAATCGGTAATCTTTGAAGGCTAATTTCCAAACCGTCGTGCGATGTCATCTCGTCCAATGGTGCCATATTGCCCGCCTCTGTTCCTGTCATCAGAGTGGGGTCGGAGCCTGGCCCTTCATCCAAGACTGGCATATCACTCTCTGCAGTCTCCATGTCCTGCGTCGGCGGAAGTGTCTCGTCATCTGCTTGTGTGGGGGGGATTGTATCATCGTCATCCTGTGTCAGTGCCGTCGGATCAAAAAGTGATGGAACATCCCTATCATCATGTTCCTGTTGGGGTTAACAGTGTCAGCCTATTGTAGTGTTATACTGAGAGTTCAAATAAGGACATGCTTTCGGCAAAGGAACCACATTACCTCCAAAGGGCCCTCTGAATCCTGAAGCACTGCCCTTCGAGTGGAAGATGTTGGCTTCATGCTTTGACCACGAGCATCGCGCTCTTTCTCCCACTCTGATGTGATGGACCGGAGTCGCTGGAGCAGTGGCGAGACCCGAGATCCCTTCCGTTTTGTCACTTTCTTTGTGGGATTGCGGATGGGCGATGGATTCCTGCTTGCGGGATGAGTTGCCTCTAGGGGGCTGTTACGTGCGGATGCCCGGGTAAAACGTCTTGCGGGAGAGACTGCCGGATCCTGTGACCCTCCAACGGCAGCACGTTGAGATTTGCCCATAACCTGCAAGACACCAGTGTTAGTTGGCAGTATGAAAACGTATATTAGGAGAAAATCAAAACACACTTATCACAACAAAGCTTATGAAGTGACATATTACGAGAAATTCACATAATAGTTACTGCAATTAATCAGGGTAAATTGCTTCAGCATACGCAAACGGGGGTAAAGAGCTTATCCGCGTTGACATATTCGGAAAAAATCATAACATCCTGCGCGCGCATAATGGATGCAAAGTGCTTCAGCAAATCAAGCGAAAACAGGGCCTATGAACGATGGCATGCATGTCCGAAAGTGGTTACCTATTACGTACTTCAATCACCGACCCCCCCTCCCCACATAGATGACCATCTGTTGAGATGTGTAATTTATTCTGAACTGCGAACTCAAAAAGGTTGCGTGGTTGCCAAACCATCAAAAATGGGCCAATTAGGCTATATTCGCATACTACCAAAAATGCCCGCTTATTTGATTCTGCGCTAAGCACCATCATCTTCGGAGGATTCCTCCGAATCCGAAGGCGAAGTATCGGCATGGTCCATCTGCTCTGCATCTTCTACTACTTGCCCCTCAATACCTTCCCTTAGCCAGTAATCGGCTGCTCCTCTAACATTGCCTCCGTCATCTAAAGGTAACCCTGTGCTGAATCTATGATCGATCGTACTATACACGTCATACGTGTCTCGCCGTGACACCGGAACGACAACGCTCCAACCTTCATCAACCGGGTCTGCAATGTACCACACCTGAGAGGCTTGGGTCGCTAAGATGAAAGGCTCATCCGTGGGCAAGTTCTTGGGGTACATCAAATACTTAAAGTTCACACATTTATATTTGAACTCATCCTCTTTAACGCCCCTCTCCAGATCCACCCAGTCACATTTTAGAAGGAGATACTTCTGTTGATTGCTATAGTACACTTCCACAATGTCCGTAAGAATCCCGTAATATGCCACGGAACCTTCTCGTGGGTTATGGTCCCTAGCTGAGGCATAACTCACTGTATCTGCCGTAACCATAACACCTGCACACGGTGTCCTCTTCCTTGCATCCCGGTCTTGAACACGATAGCGTATTCCTGACACAATGCACGAAGAGTACCGTGTTGCATTGCATAATGGTCCACCCGCCAATGCACGGATCTCCGCTGAGATTGGGCACTCATCATTATTCGTCGGATCATCTACCTACATTTGATGTAAAGTAGTTCATGAACACTCGTGATTTCAATGTTTTTTGGGAGTGTAGTCAAGATACCACGTACGGACGATGTAGGCGGTACTCACATATGATTGAAACCAAGACGCAAATTGTTCGTTGTGCTGCTGGTGCACCTCACGTGGGGGTGCGCGAGTTCGACATGACCTAATAGTATCAAGGTGAATCCTACAGTGCAAAAATAAAAGTCAAGATATTCAACACAGGTCGGATACGCATACAAGTATTGTTAAATTGATGTGAAAAAACCTTCGCAACGGACTGATTTCATCTATATTTCCTAGGATGTAGCAATGAATTTGGTGCATCGTATTGTAATCAAGATTGAACCTAGAACCAAACAATCCTTTCCCGTGTTGTGTCCCGTCCTCCTCCCCTCGAGCAGCCCGGTTCTCTTTGGTCTCTATGTCTCCGAGATATCTTGAGCAGAAAGTCACGCATTCTTCCATGAGGTATCCACGTGCAATCGAACCCTCAGGTTGTGCCCTGTTCCGTACGTACCTCTTCAGAGTACCCAAGTACCGCTCAATGGGATACATCCACCGGTACTGCACCGGACCGGCCACCATAGCCTCCTCAGCCAAATGGATAGGCAGATGCTCCATTACATCAAAGAATGAAGGTGGGAATAGCTTTTCAAGATGGCATAGCGTCAAAGAAATTCTTTCTTGGATTCGCTCCAGTTCACGAACTGTGTTATGAGCTGAGCACATCGAATTGAAGAAGTTACAAAGTTCAATCAACACGAGCACAACATTTTTGGGAAGACACCTACAGGAAGTGTTGAATCAGCACCTTCAGTTATATTTAGAGGAGGCATATATCATGTTAATTAAAATAATTGCGTTTCAAGGGTATACCGTCGGGCAGCAATAGGTAGAATTCGTTGCATAAGAACATGGCAATCGTGGCTCTTAAGTCCCCATATTAGTTGTTGTTCTACCTTCACACGACGCGATAAGTTTGAACTGAACCCATGAGGTGGTCGGAGGTCCTTCAACACAGATAGGAATATCCGTTTTTCGGGGTTACTCATGGTGTACGTAGCTGCCGGCAAATATATAGCGCCCCTAGGACCCGATACCGGGTGTAAAGAACTACGTATTTGCATCAACTGTAAGTCTTTCCTCGTGTTCAGATTGTCCTTTGTTTTCCCCTTAGTTCCCAACAATGTATACAGTACATTCTCACACACATTCTTTTCAATGTGCATCAAGTCGAGGTTGTGACGTACCTCATTCTCAGACCAATAAGGGAGCTGAAAGAATATGCTCTTTTTTTTCCACACCTGTTGCTGCCCGTCCACCCCCCGGCGACGCTTGCGAGACCCCTGTGCAATGCGTTTCTCAATCAAGTCAACCGTACGATACTCAGTAGGCATATCCTGAAGCTGCTGCAGAAGTTCAGCGCCGGTCAAGCGAGAAGGCTTTCCGTCAAAGCTCATCGAACCGTCAAATGCATGTTTATCAAAGCGCATTCTATGCCCAGCCGGCAGGAACCGTCGATGCCCGCAATAGCTATACTTATGTCCATTTTTCAGGTATCTGGAATGAGTTTTTAAACCACAAACAGGGCATGCATTCGCCCCACGAGTCGGCCACCCTGACAACATACCGTAACCGGGAAAATCACTAATAGTCCACAGCAATGCAGCTCGCATCTGGAAATCCTCCTTAGTACTCGCATCGTACGTCCGAACACCATCATACCAAAGCTCCTTAAGCTCATCGATCAAAGGTTGAAGGAAGACATCAATCCGATCCCCCGGGCCATGCGGGCCGTCTATAATCGTAGAGAGGATGAACGATGGTTGCTTCATGCACAGCCACGGAGGTAGGTTATATATCACAAGTACGACGGGCCAAATACTATAACTCACACTCATATTCCCAAAAGGGTTGAAACCGTCAGTGGCCAGACCGAGGCGTACGTTGCGAATCTCCTCAGAGAACGTCGGGTACCGATGATCGAAACTCTTCCACGCAGGACTATCTGCTGGATGACGCATCTTGCCATCGTCTACACGCCCTTCGGCATGCCATCTCATAGAAGATGCAGTTTTGGAAGATACGTACCATCGCTGCAATCGCGGAATTAATGGAAAGTACCTTAACTTCTTCACTGGAGATCTATCTTTACCCTGTGTAAATCGCTTTTCCCCCACACACAACACAAACCTCACGGTCAACATCTTCCCCGGTAAACAACATGCAATTGTTGATGCACGCATGGATAGTCTTGCATGTGAACCCCAAGTCCTTGGTCAGCTTATTAGCCTCATAGAAGTTCTTCGGAAGGACAACATCGTCTGGAAGTGCATCCCGTAACAGCTCTAACAGCAAATCAATAGAATTATTAGACCAGTGGCACAAAACCTTCAAGTGCAAAAGCCGTGCGATAAACGAGAGTCTACTCATCTTCTTGCACCCTGGTATGAGCTCTTTCTCTACATCTTCTAACATCTTTCTATACCCCTTACTGCCATGATGTATATGTTCATTTTCGTCATCCCTATGAGGTTCATTCCCACTGGGCCCCGGATCGGTGTGCTCTGTATATGCACACTCTCGCAATAGAAGTTCTAGTTCCTCCTCCCAACGCATTGGCATGTTGTCGTTTGCAACAGCAGGGTTCACCTCTCCTTCTCCGTGGCAAGTCCAAACCTTGTAGGTTTGGTCGAATCCATAACGAATACAATGGAGCAAGACATCTCTACGAGATTTTGTTAAGCGATTTCCGCAAGATGTACAGGGGCAATAGATGCAAGATTCAGAGCTACGATCTTTAAATGCGAAATCTAAGAAAGCCCTGACCCCATCCAAATATTGAGCCGAGATATGGTTCGCATCGTCTATCCAACTCCTATCCATCTAAAAAGGCAATATACATGTGATTCCATCAACAAAACATGCATTCAAAATTGTAATGTTTAAGTCTTGATACGGGCTTGCTCCCTCAATTTAAAAGAACAAAGTTATAGCATCAACTTTAATAAACTGCATTTTTGTACCTATAAGTCCATGTATTGCACTTATAAGTAAAACATAACATTCATCACAACATTAAGGCCCATGGTTTAAAATCAGCCATTATCTCCACTTTAGAACCTTTTATGGATGCCATTTAATGAGAATTAAATGATGTCTACGCTCCGCCAAAAATTCTGAGCGTCATCTCTAGATACTAGAGCAGCAAGAATTATCCATACCCTACTTGGGTCAAGAAAAATTTCCTACTATTCTAAATTTTTCCTTGCCCTTTTGTACGAATATGAAAAAAATCCTCAAATCTGATGTCTAAAGAGTAAAGCAGGTTTGTGGGAATGCACATAACACTTAACTACACCACCACTCGAGAAAACATAGAACACTTAGAAGCTTTGCACTGTGGAAATGCATTAAAAAGAAATCGGACCTTCCGTTAAACTCAATGTTGCTTATCCTGAATTCACACTGCACACTTTTGTCTCCACAATTTAGTATCCTGTAAAAAAACACAAGTTAAATATGCACTCATTTTCAGTTAAAATAGCCCAAATGGTGTTGCTTCCGACAAATCGACGCATACAACCAAGTAACAAAAAAATGGTATTGGTTCCGACAAAGGAGCCAATACTTAGAGTGTAGATATGATATCATATTCATATTATGCAGCATATGTATGTATCATTATCTAACAATATATGCGTCTGAATCTGTATATATTATGTTGTAGAATCCAATGAAACTTATTTAAATATCCACACATAATAACAAAATTCAAAGTTGTTTTGGAAAGAAGCACTCTATATTGGATAGTGTTGCTAGATCATTTTTGTACTTCATTGCAATTATTGCAGAATGAAAAGATAAAATGAGTGAAAGTCTTGGGAGGGTACACCAATAAATAAATAAAGTTCACAAAACCATCAAATCATAAAGTGTATTTATTAACTTTGCTTGTGTGTGCACTTTGGTTTTTTTTAAAAAAAATAAAAAAATCTTGTTGCATCATATAATCTATACTAAAATAATCTTCTTCCCTCTATTTAATTATCACATCCGACACCTATTTTCTATTCAAAACATAATATCCAAAAACCCTTTTTCCATCCGAAAAATTTCAAATCCAAAAAATCCACAACAGAAGCACTCTTTCCCAGATATTATGACTGAAATGCAATACAATTACACAAACAGAGAAGCTGTCATATCTTCATGAAAATTGAAACAGAACCATACACCATTGGAATTTCACATATATTTATCATAATGTAGGATGCCCAAATTCCTAAACCAAACAGCACAAAACATCACATTTAACTTAATCGATAAATTCACTTGGCACAATTGTATACAGTAACAATGTAAAAAATTCAAAAGTGCTGCACTTTGCTGGCTAAATTAATTTTCAGTATCTGTGTTACAAACACATCACCAACATGGTGGATCACGCAATACCAGAGTTTGCTTCTAACAAAACATCAGACTTCCAAATATATGACTCAATGTGTAAAAATATACAAAAGCATATTTTAAATCTAACAGAAGGAGCTTCAAAATAAAACCTAGAGGACAATCTACAATGTAAAATACTACAAATCTTTCAAACTTATCGGCCATTGGTTGTTGTGGCTGAACAACCAACCCTAACAACAAGCAATGAACAAATGGGAATGGAAACGCAAAATAGAATAAACAAAATTCACCGACGAGGGCATGGCGAGGAAGGAAAGCAGGACAAGAAGAAATAAGAGAAGGGAGAAGCTAGAAAAACCACCTACCTGATGGATCGATGCCGGAGACGTGTTCCAAAATCCCTCACTTCAACGGGACGCTGCGGCGGGGAGAATTCGACCAGCGACCAAGGTAGATGAGACTGCAAACGGAAGAAACATAAATTAAAAATCGATATGAGAAAAATGTTTTCACATTATCGATTTTTAACCTACAGGGGCGCCGGCGGCTGAGCAAGTTAGAAGAAGAAAAAAGAAGAGGACGAAGAAAGGATAACTTCGCGTTGGAGAAGAAAGGGGGAGGGCGGCGGGTGTGGGTAGGGTTTATGATTTAGTTATAAGTGATGGGAAAAAATGAATGATAATATTATTTTATTTTTACATATTTATATTTATTTTTTTAAAAAATAATTTAAAATTATATTTAAAATAATGGTATAATATGATATAAATAGATATTGAGTCAATGACATGATATTTTAAATATAAAATTAATTTTAGTATATTATTAAAGTAAAAAACTATTTATTTGATTTGATATTTTTAGCAAAAAAAAATATGAATAATAATTTGAAATTTGAAATTTTTTTATAAAAGAACACAATAAATAAAAGACCAAAAAATAAATTTTCTAAATTTAAATATATCATTTTCTTCAATAAAATATTATTTAAATATCATCTCTTTCAAATTATCACATCAATATATCATTTTTTTCAATAAAATAATAATTTCATCCTACGTAATCATTACAAAATTCAAACTCTCAAACAAATTCAACTTAAAAATCCATACTTCAAAATTCTCCAAAATCCAAATCCAAAATCCAATCATCCAACCAAACACACCCTTTGTAAATTTTATAAATATAATTAATTAATAATAAATCTTTATTTATATTTATTTTACATTCAATTTGTTAAAACTAGGAGGAGGGCGGCTGGTAGATAGTGCAATATATTTTTACTTATTTATTATATATTGTAATAAATTTTATATACAATTAATTAATAATAAATTTTTATTTATATTTATTTTACATTCAATTTGTTAAATATTATTTTCAAAATTTGAAGTTTGATTATTTTTTTAATTTTTAATTTTTTATTAAAAATTATAAAAAATGCTTTTCTTTGTTACAGAATAAAGTCGTAATTATTGTATTTACGATATTTTTTTGTCATATTTTTAATTGTTACGAAACATTTATCGTAATAAATAAAAAAAGACGTTGACTAATAAAAATTCCTTTTGTCACGAAAAAATTCATAACAAAAACCATCTTTTATTATGACAATATTGTTACGAATCTTCTTTCCGTAATGAAAGCCCATTTTTTTGGTAGTGGAGATTATGCCCTAATTTGTCGAAGATACCTCGCGTAATACAAAATCTTTTTCGAGCTACCTTCAAAACCTTACCTGGGTGAGGTGCGCCGGAGTAGATCCCAGGGACGGATCGATTTCACCTCGCGCGTCGTTGTCGGCAGCTACAGGAAATCGGATCGCGGGCGACTGTGAGAAGCGAACGAGGGAAATGAACCAGATGCCCTAATTTGTCTAAGTGTGGGATGATATAGCGTTTTTGTCCATTTTGATCGTTTCTGGAATGAAAGCGTCAATCCAGTATTTTACTTTTTTTTTTTTTTTTTTTTAATTTAACTTTTCCAAAAAAAAAAAAATTAAATACCAGTAGTTACGAACACTTTACGTAACTAATGTTATTTTGACCAAATTCTACCATCTCATTATTTGTTACGATATTTTTTGCGTAACGACAGAACCTAAAACGTTGACCGGGTTTTTTTTTTTTCGTCACGGATTTTGTCGTAACTAATATATCTATTTATTACGATTTTATTGTTACGGACTCTCAACCCGTGGTGAATAGCCCTTTTTTTGGTAGTGAATGTTAGTACTTTTTTTTCTTCACCACTTTTCCTTTGTATTAAATAACACTTTATGGGATTACACTTTTTGCTCTAAAGTTCTAATTACTATGCTTTTTGTATACGTTACATAGTGTTTTAAGTGAATAATGTTTGTACTTTTCTTTCTTCACCACTTCTTCTTTGTATTAAATAACGCGTTATAGGATTATACTTTTGGCTCTAGAGTTCTACTTACAGTGCCTTTCATATATGTTATATAGTGCTTTAAGGTAATAAAGCTAGTGCTTTTGTTTCATCACCGCTTTTCCTTTGTAATAGATAACGCTTTTTGGGATTATACTTTTTGTTCTAGAGTTCTAATTACTGTACTTTTCCTATATGTTACATAGTGTTTTTTAAGTGAATAAAGTTAGTGCTTTTGTTTCTTTGCCACTTTTCTTTTGTATTAAATAAAACTTTAAGGGATTATACTTTTGGCTCTAGAGTTCTAATTACAGTGCTTTTCGTATATGTTATATAGTGCTTTAAGGTAATAAAGATAGTCCTTTTCTTTCTTCACCGTTTTTCCCTTTTATTAAATAATGCTTTATGGGATTATAGTTTTGGCTCTAGAGTTCTAATTACAGTGCTTTTCGTATATGTTATATAGTGTTTTAAGATAATAAAGATAGTGCTTTTGTTTTCTCACCACTTTTCCTTTGTATTAAATACGCTTTATGGGATTATACTTTTTGCAATAGAGTTCTAATTACATGCTTTTCGTATATGTTATATCGTGCTTTAAGGTAATAAAGATAGTACTTTTGTTTCATCACCGCTTTTCTTTTGTATTAAATAACGCTTTATGGGATTATACTTTTTGTTCTAAATTTCTAATTATTGTGCCTTTCGTATATGTTACATAGTATTTTTTAAGTGAATAAAGATAGTGCTTTTGTTTCATCACCGCTTTTCCTATGTATTAAATAACGCTTTATGGGATTATACTTTTTGTTCTTGAGTTCTAATTACTGTGTTTTTCGTATATGTTACACAGTGTTTTTTAAGTGAATAAAGTTAGTGCTTTTGTTTCTTCGCCACTTTTCTTTTGTATTAAGTAAAACTTTATGGGATTATACTTTTGGCTCTAGAGTTATAATTACAGTGCTTTTCGTATATGTTATATAGTGCTTTAAGGTAATAAAGATAGTCCTTTTCTTTCTTCACCGTTTTTCCCTTTTATTAAATTGTGGGATTCTACTTTTGGCTCTAGAGTTCTAATTACAGTGCTTTTCGTATATGTTATATAGTGCTTTAAGGTAATAAAGATAGTGCTTTTGTTTTCTCACCACTTTTCCTCTGTATTAAATACGCTTTATGGGATTATACTTTTTGCAACAGAGTTCTAATTACATGCTTTTCGTATATGTTATATCGTGCTTTAAGGTAATAAAGATAGTGCTTTTGTTTCATCACCGCTTTTCCTTTGTATTAAATAACGCTTTATGGGATTATACTGTTTGTTCTAAATTTCTCATTACTGTGCCTTTCGTATATGTTACATAGTTTTTTTTAATTGAATAAAGTTAGTGATTTTGTTTCCTCACCACTTTTCCTTTGTATTAAATAACGCTTTATGGGATTATACTTTTGGCTCTAGAGTTCTACTTACAGTGCTTTTCATATATGTTCAATAGTGCTTTAAGGTAATAAAGATAGTGCTTTTGTTTTCTCACCACTTTTCCTTTGTATTAAATAACGCTTTGTGGGACTATACTTTTGGGTCTAGAGTTCTTATTACAGTACTTTTTGTATATGTTATATAGTGCTTTAAGGTAATAAATATAATCCTTCTCTTTCTTCACCATTTTTCCATTGTATTAAATAATGCTTTATGGGATTATACTTTTGGCTCTAGAGTCCTAAATCCAGGGCTTTTCGTATATGTTATATAGTGCTTTAAGGTAATAAAGATAGTGCTTTTCTTTCATCACCGCTTTTCCTTTGTATTAAATAACGCTTTATGGGATTATACTTTTTGTTCTAAATTTCTAATTACTATGCTTTTCGTATATGTTACATAGTGTTTTTTAAGTGAATAAAGTTAGTGCTTTTGTTTCTTCACCACTTTTCCTTTGTATTAAATAACGCTTTATGGGATTATACTTTTGGCTCTAGAGTTCTACTTACAGTGCTTTTCGTATATGTTACATAGTGTTTTAAGTGAATAATGTTAGTACTTTTGTTTCTTCACCACTTTTCCTTTGTATTAAATAACGCTTTATGGGATTATGCTTTTGGCTCTAGAGTTCTAATTACAGTGCTTTTTGTATATGTTATATAGTTCTTTAAGGTAATAGAGATAGTGCTTCTGTTTCTTCACCGTTTTTGCTTTGTATTAAATAACACTTTATGGGATTATACTTTTTGCTCTAGAATTCTAATTATTGTGCTTTTCATATATATTACATTGTGTTTTAAGTGAATAATGTTAGTACTTTTGTTTCTTCACCACTTTTCCTTTGTATTAAGTAACGCTTTATAGGATTATACTTTTTGCCCTAAAGTTCTAATTACTATGCTTTTAGTATATGTTACATAGTATATGTTACATAGTGTTCTTCACCACTTCTTCTTTGTATTAAATAACGCTTTATAGGATTATACTTTTGGCTCTAGAGTTCTACTTACAGTGCTTTTCGTATATGTTATATAGTGCTTTAAGGTAATAAAGATAGTGCTTTTGTTTCTTTAAAGTTTTTCCCTTGTATTAAATAACACTTTATGGGATTATACTTTTTGCTCTAGAATTCTAATTACTGTGGTTTTCGTATATGTTGCATAGTGTTTTAAGTGAATAATGTTAGTACTTTTGTTTTTTCACCACTTTTCCTTTGTATTAAATAACGCTTTATAGGATTATACTTTTGGCTCTAGAGTTTTAATTACAGTACTTTTCGTATATGTTATATAGTGCTTTACGGTAGTAAAGATAGTGCTTTTGTTTCATCACCGCTTTTCCTTTGTATTAAATAACGCTTTTTGGGATTATACTTTTTGTTCGTGAGTTCTAATTACTGTACGTTTCCTATATGTTACATAGTGTTTTTTAAGTGAATAAAGTAGTGCCTTTGTTTCTTCGCCACTTTTCTTTTGTATTAAATAACACATTATGGGATTATACTTTTGGCTCTAGAGTTCTAATTACCGTGCTTTTCGTATATTTTATATAGTGCTTTAAGGTAATAAAGATAGTCCTTTTCTTTCTTCACCGTTTTTCCCTTGTATTAAATAATGCTTTATGGGATTATACTTTTGGCTCTAGAGCTCTAATTACAGTGCATTTCATATATGTTATACAGTGCTTTAAGGTAACAAAGATAGTGCTCTTATTTCTTCACCGCTTTTCCTTTGTATTAAATAACACTTTATGGGATTATACTTTTTGCTCTAGAGTTCTAATTATTGTGCTTTTAGTATATGTTACATAGTGTTTTAAGTGAATAATGTTAGTGCTTTTATTTCTTCGCCACTTTTCCTTCGTATTAAATAACGCTTTATGGGATTATACTTTTGGCTCTAGAGTTTTAATTCCAATGATTTTCGTATATGTTATATAGTGCCTTAAGGTAATAAAGATAGTGCTTTTCGTTTTTCTCTCCGCTTTTCCTTTGTATTAAATAACGCATTATGAGATTATACTTTTGGCTGTAGGGTTCTAATTACTGTGCTTTTTGTATATATTACATAGTGTTTTAAGTGAATAAAGTTAGTGCTTTTGTTTCTTCACCACTTTTCCTCTGTATTAAATAACGCTATATAGGATTATACTTTTGGCTCTAGAGTTCTAATTACAGTGTTTTTCGTATATGTTACATAGTGCTCTAAGGTAATAATGATAGTGCTTTTGTTTCATCACCCCTTTTCCTTTGTATTAAATAATGCTTTATGGGATTATACATTCTGTTCTACAGTTCTAATTACTGTACTTTTCGTATATGTTACATAGTGTTTTTTAAGTGAATAAAGTTAGTGCTTTTGTTTCATCACCGTTTTTCCTTTGTATTAAATAACGCTTCATGGGATTATACTTTTTGTTCTAGAGTTCTAATTACTGTGCTTTTCGTATATGTAACATTGTGTTTTTTAAATGAATAAAGTTATTGCTTTTGTTTCTTCACCACTTTTGCTTTCTATTAAATAACGCTTTATAGGATTATACTTTTGGCTCTAGAGTTCTACTTACAGTGCTTTTCGTATATGTTACAAAGTGTTTTAAGTGAATAATGTTAGTACTTTTGTTTCTTCACCACTTCTTCTTTGTATTAAATAACGCTTTATAGGATTATACTTTTGGCTTTAGAATTCTACTTACAGTGCTTTTCATATATGTTATATAGTGCTTTAAGGTAATAAAAATAGTGCTTTTGTTTCATCACCGCTTTTCCTTTGTATTAAATAATGTTTTATGGGACTATACTTTTTGTTCTAGTGTTCTAATAACTGTGTTTTTCGTATATGTTACATAGTGTCTTTTAAGTGAATAAAGTTAGTGCTTTTGTTTCTTCACCACGTTTCCTTTGTATTAAATAACTCTTTATGGGATTATACTTTTCGCTCTAGTGTTCTAATTATAGTGCTTTTTGTATATGTTATATAGTGCTTTAAGGTAATAAAGATAGCGATTTTGTTTTCTCACCACTTTTCCTTTGTAGTAAATACGCTTTATGGATTATACTTTACGCTCTACAGTTCTAATTACTGTGCTTTTCGTATATCTTACATAGTGTATTAAGTGAATAACGTTAGTGCTTTTGTTTCTTCACCACTTTTCCTTTGTATTAAATAACGTTTTATGGGAATATACTTTTTGCTATAGAGTTCTAATTACAGTGCTTTTCATATATGTTACATAGTGCTTTAGTGCTTTTGTTTATCCACCGATTGTACTTGGTATTGAATAACGCTTTATGGGATTGTAATTTTTGCTCTAGAGTTCTAATTACTGTGTTTTTCGTATATGTTACATAGTGTTTTATGTGGATAATGTTAGTGTTTTTGTTTCTTCCCCACTTTTCTTTTGTATTAAATAACGCTTTTTGGGATTATACTTTTGGCTCTAGAGTTCTAATTACAATGCTTTTCCTATATGTTATATAGTGCTTTAAGGTTATAAAGATAGTGTTTTTGTTTCATCACCGCTTTACCTTTGTATTAAATAACGCTTTATGGGATTATACTTTTTGTTCTAGAGTTCTAATTACTGTA